GAGAGGGTGGGTAAACTGCATTTTCTTGGATTGTAAGAAGGTTTCCGACAGTTCCGCACAAGAGATTGGTACAAAAGTTTAAGGAACATGCAGGTATAGCAGGAAAAGCACTGAAGTGGATCAGGGAATACGTGACAGGAAAGAAACAACGAGTGATGGTACGTGATGAGGTGTCAGACTTGGCTCATGTGTAGAGCGGGGTACCACAAGGGTCAGTCCTGGGGCCGGTGCCGTTTCTGGTATATGTGATTGACATGAAGGAAGGGATAGATTCTGATTTGTCCTTATTTGCAGACGACATGAAACTAATGTGGAGAATTCAAGCGTACGAGGACCAGGTAAGACTACAAAGGCGTCTGTAGAGGTTGCAGTCCTGGATCAACATGTGGTTTCAAGAGTTTAACCCCCACCAAGTGCGAAGTCATGAAGCTTGAGGAAGGACCAAGAAGACCGGAGATGGAGTACATACTCGGGGATCAAAGACTGCAAGCCTCACTCAAGAAAAAGGGTATTGGGGTGAGCATCACACCGAATACATCCAATGAGGTGAAATTACTGACCTAGAAAATGTACAGAGAACCTTCACGGGAAACGTAACTGCGATAAAACACCTCATTTACTGGGAACGCTTCAAGTTTCTCAACCTGTACTCCCTAGAATGCAGGCGGGATAGATATATGATTATATACACTTTTAAAATCCTAAAGGGATTAGTACCAAACTTGCGCACGAAAATCACTCCTTATGAAAGCAAGACTCGGCAGAGGATGCAACATCCCCTAATGAAAAGCAGGGACACCACTAGCACGTTAAGAGACAACACAATAAGACTGTTCAACTGCCACCCAGCATACATAAGGGGGGTTACAAAGAGACCCCTGGCTCTCCTCAAGAAGGCGCTGGACAGGCACCTAAAGTCAGTATCTGACCAGCCGGGGTGTGGTTCGTATGTCGGGTTCCGTGTGGTCAACATTAACAACCTGATTGATCAGGCCCTCATCCACCATGAGGCCTGGTCACAGATCGGGCCGCGGGGGCGTTGATCCCCGAAACCCTCTCCAGGTATTTCAGGCCAATATTGGAGTATGCAACACCAGTTAGGAATCCATACTTGATCAAGCATATAAAGAAACTGGGGACAGTGCAGAGGTATGCAACGAGACTTGTTCCAAAGATAAAGGGAATGAGCTATGAGAATAACCTAAAGGAGCTAAAATTGATGACGAGTGGACAGAAAAACCAGGGGTGATATTATAACGACCTAGAAAATACCGAGAGGAAATAATAGGGTGGAGAGGGACAGAATGTTTGAGAAACAGGAGCACAAGGGTGCAACTGAAAGTTAAAACACGAATGAATCACAGGGATGTTAGGAAATATTTCTTTAGCCGCTGAGCGATCATGACGATTTCTTCTTCATAGATCCTCCTAAATAGGGAAGACTGAAAGGTCTCAAGACACAAACGTGATCCCTGATGATAAATAAAATATAATTTAGAGAATAGCAAGGGAAGACTGAGAATATTTGATCTCCGTAGTCTAGCTTATAAAAGATTAACGCTAAATGTAGGAAGAGAAGGGTTTTTCCCCAAAAAAATAACTAAATGAAAGGTTTAAATAGGTCCAGCCTACTGGGACACGTGTTTTAAAGGAAATTACGTTGTTTCCCTGACTTTCGACGACCAAAGAGAAAGCTGTGGAATTTTTTTTTAATTTTCCTGTAATTTGTGTGAAAGAATTGATCGGGATAATTAGTGTTTATATAACGTAGTGTAGATGTGTGGTATTGTTGAGACTTTTAGAAGATGACGAGCACAAGGGAGCCATCTTCATCTATAATTTCCTTATTTTTGATAATTAAGTAAATTGTAATTGTTATAATATTAGAAAAAATAATATAGGGGTAAGGAAAGTGTATTACACTCCTGGAAACGTCACTGAATTATATAAATGTTTAGTGACGGGGGGCGGGAGGGCGGGGTAGCTTCTATGATGGCGTAGTAAGAGGAGCGGACCGGGAGTTTGTGTACATTTAATCCAATGTAATCAGAGCAGATAAAAATATTATCGGCCGAGTTTTATAACGTCAGAATAAACGAAGAGATAGTGCATTTGGAAGTGTCCAGATATGTAGTACAACTGTCAGCATAATGATATAATGAAATCAGGAGGCGGTAGCTGAATGTGACGCCATATTTGCCTGTCACATATATCATCCAATTTAATGTACCGCTCCCAGTGTGTATTTAACTCCATACAACAGATAACGCAGCTAATTATTTGCCAGTATGAGTTGCTTATCTGTAGAGAGGCGTTAGGATATATCACCTATGGAATAAATGGATAAGTGCAGTTTATGGTTATAATTAGTGTATTAATTTGGTACACGTCAGTGGTGACGTGTACTTGGCTCTGTGAAGACCTGTTTGCGCGCTCTCTACGAATTGAAGCAAGATGCCCTCCATCGAGCAACCTTACCAACAGCTTAAGGAAGAATTGAGGATGGCGAAGATGGAGATTCGGCGACTGACCGAGGAAAACAAGAAGATTCGTAGTAGTAGTCCTGTTTTGAATCCTCAGGTCAAGAAAGGAAACTGGTCAGTGGCTGGACAGCAGGGAACGAAGTTGACGATCAAGAAGACGAATGGAAAGGTAGAAACGATGAAGAAGAAAGAGACTGCCGTGGAAACTGTTGTGGAAACCTCTAATACATTCTCAGTGCTACCCGACGTATGTGAGTCGACTACTGGGAACGTCACGACGATCGACACCAAGGAAGGTAAGAATATTGTTGTTGTTGGGGATAGCCAAGTTAGGTATATGGATAGGGCGTTCTGCTTGAAGGACATGAGTAGGAGACAGAGAGTTTGCTTTCCTGGGGCTGGGATGGAGGATATTGTTAGCCGTCTGGATGACATCATGAGAGGTAATGGGAGCAATCCTATTATCTGTCTCAGTGCTGGTGGCAACGATGTTGGCA